AGCTTTACAGTCCCTGCTTGTGGTTTTAAATGCTTTAGTATGTCTTTGTAATGCCTCAGGGCCTAATGGTGTTTTATTCTGCTGTTTGCTGTGGGAGTGCCTTCATAACCTCATCTGAAATAGAGGATGCCTATGAAAACTGATGGTCAAATGCAAAAAAAATAGAAGTAGTAATGGAAACATAAATTGGAAATAAAATATGAAACTAGAAACTCCATAAATGTGCATGATATCTTTTAGAGTTATGTTCCATTACTGACTGATGCCAGTCTCCACTTATACAGTACTTATCATTATTTCTTATCAGTACTTCTGCATATTCGGTTGAATATCTATTTGGAATGAACAAATCAAAAATTGTGGAACATATTCACCCAGTCAATTAAGCATTACTTGAAAAGCTTACCACCAGTAAAGCCAGAAGTTATTATTCCTACATTTGAATTAGTCTTATGGATAATCACATTGATTTTTCAAAATATTTGCACAATAAAATGGTTAAATTGTAATCAAACTCAAATTTGAAATGGTTTGATGTAAAGTGCTCTGTTCTAGAGAAACTTACCAAGTCAGAATTTTTCAGATATAAGGAACTAGAAGTTTGAAGCGTTTAATGCCTCTACAGATTGCCTCACATAAAGCTATTACATTAAATAAGGTTAAGAATGTGTTGCCTGAGACATTGTTTTGTAATGGTTTTGACAAACCTTTGGACTGAAATGTATTTTTAAAAATTAATTCATGGTTGGAGAGCTACATGCAGGTTCTCTGGGGAAAAATGGTTTCCAAAGAACTTATTTTTATATTATTTTTTAGTTTTTCATATTTTCCCATACTCATAAAACCTCAGAAGACGTGTAGGCTCACTGGTCATTTTGTATAGTAAATTAATTATATTTGTGTTTTAGACATTGCGACCCCTGGTTCCCGTCACCACTGTTTTTTGGAAAAAAAATTCTGCAATCCACCATTTCACAGCATACCACTCTGAATGACTTTGTTTACATATCAGAGGTTGAATTATGAAGACATTTTCCTCTGTAAATGTTTTTTGTGAAACTCAGTCCACTTGCATTCTGTCTTCTCAGGTTTTTAAAAGAAACGCCATATGGAGCTTGTATGCAAAACATAGCATTTCATTGTTTATTCAGAGATGTTATTTGGTGTCAATCAAGTGTACGTAAACATGAGCCCTCAGCTGTCTGTCATGGGGATGCCATGAAGCATGCACCAAATACGGGAACTGCGGAATCGATATTTTTCATGTACATATCTGCCAATGCTGATACCATTGCCAATACATAAACATGTCTGGATTAATATCACAGAGAAATACAGCGTTTGTTTCTGTAGGTTTACAAATGCAGGAAAATGAATAGAAAACATATTTACATGCAGTAGCCCAGTGTTGCCTGAACATTCTCTTTTTACAGAGTACATCAACTGTCAGTTTAAAATATAGGGTCAGTAGGTGAAATCCAAATGTCAAATCTAAAATGTGTTTTTATCTGCTGATGTTTTTGATATCATCGTGCATCCCTAGTAAGTACCTTGGAAGAGCCTAGCTCTTTTTTTTTTTTATTGCTAACAGCTGCATACCTAGTTGAAGCACTGTAGCGTAGGTCAGTATTTATTATACTGCCGTTAATTTGTTTTACTGGATGAATATTGTGATTATGGTAAGTGTTTGCACAATATTATAAACAAAAGGGAAAAACTGTTTCCCAGATCACATAAATTCATCAGGGAGTGTAAATGCCTTGATTCATCAAAACATCCACAGAAACACTCATCTGGAGCATCTGAGGTGCTCACAGCACACGATGATTGATGATCTAATGATTGCTTAGAGGGCTTATTTGCATATATCAGCCCTCTGAAATAATATAGCAAAGACCAGTATTGTGATACCAATTAGCATATGCAACCCAGTATCTCACAATGTGGATGCGTTAGATTAGATTAATTGTGCATCAAAAACGAACAAAAGTGTCATTCCAGCCAAAGAAAACAAGAAACAAAAAAACACGGCTACATCTTTATTCATTGGCTCTGTATAGTTAGTCTTCGGCACGCTTCCTGGTTAGCATAGGGAATGCTTGTCTTGCTCAGAATTTCACACTGACGTCTGCTTTCTGAAATTAGTACATAAGTTTTGGTCAAGATCTCTTGCTATGAGTAGTGTTTTTCTGTGAGTTATTAAACTAGGCCATCCCTGAGACCTTCAGGCTTCCTCAAAGCTGAACGTTTTTTTTCTTCCTAATTTAGTTTTTACTTTTTCCTATGCAGTGGATCTCCCCTTAGTGTCAGACAGTTCCATCAGTCTGGAAAGCGACAGGCTCTATATGCCTCCTCCAGTGTGCATGAAGCCTGTCAAAGCATTATTTCAGACTACCCACAATGCAAGAATACCCACTGGCAAGTGCCTCGGTGCACACAGAGGAGAACACTAAGCACTCCACAATGTGCGTGTTGCAGCTCTGGGAGAGAGAGGGACTTTGCTGTCCCCAGTTTGGACTGAGCCAGTTCCTTCCCTCAGGAATCCTCAGCAAGATTTTGCTGTCCACTCAATAAAAGCTTATATCTGCCCGTTTAATCACATTTGTAGAATGGTTCTTTTTGCCAGCAGTTTTTTGTCAACCCAGGCTGCGTTTGGTAGAGAAGTCAAGGGGATATGAGGTATATGAGGACTGTGTTTTTTGTGTATGTGTGTCTGTGTTTGTGTTTGGATGTGCAAGTGTGTATACACACATGAGCATGTGTGTCTGTAACACTATACTTGGCAAGCTGAAGTCTCATCTGGAAGATAAGTCAAATGGCAAATAGAGCCACGTTTACGCCAAGACAAGGCGCTTATCAGAGGAGTCCAGACAGGGGCTCACAGATTGAGGACAGAAAGCAGAGCAGGCTGTAACATAGACACACACACACACGCGTGGACATACACAACATACATAAATAGCAGAGTTACTATTGGGTTGATTTTGTATTGATGTGTTATTGCAAATATCGTGGGGAGTGGTGGTTAACTGAGTGGAGTGTTGGGAGAAATTATGGCAACATCTTATGCTTTATGTTCCTTGAGCAACTAATTAGATAAGCAACTAATTACGTCTTGACTCAGTATGCTGAGAACACAGATAAAATCATTTGAGACTTAGAGATGCAGAATAGTGTGGAGTATGTAATTTATGTTATAAATATATATATATATATATATATATATATATATATATATATATATATATATTTTAAGCAAAGGCTACATCACAGTAAAGTTTCATGGCTTATCTAGTTGACTGAGAATTAACCTGTAATGTTGAAACAAGCTGAAATGTTACTTATGCCGAACAGCACTGCTGCTTTTATGCCTTTCTTTAACCTCTGATTGTTCATTATATTGGTAAACAGGTGATGTCATACTGCAAAGGCAGCCACTTTGAATATGCCCTGTGTTTGTGTACTTTGAAGTCCTTTGCTCCATACTCTTCCACGCTGGAACTGACTGAAAACTTGTGCAGCCCTGAGCTGCTACTGTTGTGGGTTTCAGTTTCCTCCCTTTCAGTGATACAAAAATATTTGACTGCTGATAGCAGCTGCACATGAGTGAGGAAGTAAATGAATGACTTAGAAATAAATTCACTTATAATTCTCATTTTTAGTTATTTCAGCAGTTTCAATAAAAATAATTCAAAAGGAGAATGCCATTTCTTTGTTTGTTATTGTTTTTTCACACATATTTTCATAAAAAATGGTAAAAATCTAAAGTAACAAAAGAGAAAACTGTAAATAAAGAAAAAATAGGGCTGCGATAAATATCCAATAATTTGGATAAATGTGAATAATAAAATATGAAAACGACAAAGACGTTCAGATAACCAAAGCAGATTGGTAGCTAGCATGTTCTCAGTTGTATTTATTTCCAAGAACAAGTGAGAGTGCGCTGGCTGACTAGCAGTCCGGAGTAGTAGGAAATGTAGTTTAGGACAAGTTTCAGAGAAAGGGTTTTTCAGCCACTTAAAAGAAAACTTAATTGTTCGCATGTTCACTGATGAGATCTGGCCACAGAAGTTGTTTTCATGTTTAAGACTGTGTTTAAAAAGATGCTGTTTCCTCTGCTCCTCTGCACCGCTCCTCACCAACATGCTCAAACAGCATCAGCAATCTCTTTGTGTTGCCAGATTGGGCAGGATCCCCCAAATTGACATTTTTATGAAATAATGCTATGAAAATCATTTTTTAGCAGTGATGTTTTTTCATTACCTTGTATTATTTTAAATAAGTTTAGTTAAAAAGTAGAAATAAGAAAACAAATAAATAGAATTTAAGCAATAGCGTAGAAGCAAATACTTCAGTTTTAGCCCAAGATTAAAACAGTTTTGACAGTGCCCTATGTAAGAGTGACTTATTTCTGCCCTGATTGTTGAAGTGTTTAGTTTTTAAAATTTCAGTTGTCAGTGTGTTGTTAGGTGGCTGATTCATTATTGGCGGCAATTCATTGGTTGATGTCTTGATTACTGACTGAAACCTGAGTTTTCAATGTTGAAACTGAGCTGTTTAACTTTATAGTAGATATGAAGTCTGTTGGTTTCTTTTTCATCTGCATCTACTCTCAAAATGTAGCGTTATCATGTTTTTTCCCTCTTTTGTTTTTAATGATTTAAGAGACATCAGTCATTCCACCAGTCATTACAATTGAGGGCAACATTAAGCTCTCCATGGTGCCTATTGTTTTGTTTAGGGTCCAGTTGACATGCGAACAAGTCCTAGTGGATTATATGATGTAATGGGAGCACCTGAGAGAAGTGGTGGTGTGTTGACTGCTTGCCTGAAGCAGTTGAATGGTTATTGATTGAATGGGCACTCTCTGCTTGACTGAGGCGTGCAGAGGCTGGACTTTAGCCTGAGCCACATTCCTGACTCCTGTTTGACTGAGAAGCACGAGGAAGGCTGAAGGGAGGGAGCAAGGGAGGGACGGAGAGACGGAGGGGGGCGGAAGAGAGGTGGGACCCAGAGGCTGGAAAAGGAAGTCATGTGCGTATGAAAAGTGTGTCTTTCACTTCAGAGCATGCTCGCTGAGGCTTGCTCGGCTCCCCCAAAAACCCAGCCTCTAATTTTGAACCGGAGGGAGGTGAAGTTTCTCCTGCAGACTTTTTCTTTTTCCTTTTTTTTGTTTCTCATGTGCTCTCTCTCTGTATGCCTCCTCTTTTACATCCTGCTGTGGGAGGAGGGATGAACAGTGAATTAATCTTTTTAAAAAAAGGAACAAAAATGAGGAAAAACAAAACAAGTATCTGAAGATCTTTTTTTCCTTCCCCTTACACAGCCTCTGAGAGTCGGGAGAGAGAAACTTCAGACCAGAAGGTGTGAAATTTGAGGAAGAAGGCGAACCCATAGTCTGCAGTTTTGGTCAGTATTTTTGGGTAGTGGGGCTTAAAGGAAAAAGGTCACTTGTTGCTCGTTTGAGTTTGTCAACAGACACGTGAAATTTTGTAGAGATGTTATGCTGCTCTTTACATGCTGGTGTGAGGGGTTAATAGGTTGGAATTGTCTAAAGGGGTGGGCGGACACGTGGAGAGGCTGAGAACACTTGCACTGAGACAGGATTCTGTATTTCACTTAAGTACTCTGGCTGTTCTGTTGCCCTGGATCACATATAACCTTTGGATGTGGAAGTGAGGAGAAATAGCTTTATGCAATGTAAAGAAGAAGGCTATAGAGATTTGACTTGAGTCTGGCCACGTGGGTGTGACAAAAAGGCAGATTTCCAAAGCGCTGTGTTCTGCATGTGGTAGAACAGTTCCGTTATTATTATAATTATTATCCTTATTGTTATTATTATTGGCGTTTGTATTGTTATTGAATTATTGCTTTTTTGGATTTTAGCAACATAACACTGCCATTTGTAATTTGTCAGTGAAACAAATCTGAGAAGATTAATATCAACAAGATTAACATTAATGACAGTAGAAATCAGACATATTACTTTATAAAAAACATCTGAAACATAATGGCCATCATTGTAAGATACATTAGAAGATACAGTGAACAGAGGAAATAATTAACAGTAATTTTTAGTATAGCATTTTTGTCATTTGAAAAATAGTGAACAGTGATATATAGTACAATAACTGCATAGTATATAGTACTGTAACTGGATTTTATCATACCAGAAAGAAAGAGGAAGAAAGGGCCATTTAAGTGTTAAAAAAAACACAATTTTTACCATTTCCATTAAATGAAACAGTAAAGCTGTGATGTACAGGTTTTAACTAGAAGCTGTGTTTTGTAATTTCTTCAGTTAAGATAACTTGTGCAACAGGCTAATTTTATTTTTTAGGCTAATTTTTAATTTTTATTTCAATGTTTGAGTCAACTGGGTCTATAATGAGACCTTGACTTTCAAAGACCACTGAGACCTCAGGTGACCTGAGAAACAATATGGCGGAATTCTAAAGTCATGAAGGTGATGTAGGACCAACATCTGTGTTATGAATTATATGCGATGGTATTGTATGCTAAGCTAAGACTTTGATTCCTGGGAGTGCAGCGTAAATCATACTCTAGTGCTTGAATTTGGTAACGTTTGTGTGGTTTGGCTGGTTTTCTCTCCAGCAGTGACTACATGTTTGGACTCTGTTTTCAATTCGATTTGACTGCTTTTTGTTTGGTCACTACAACATACCGAACATACCTCACACTCCCTTCTGCTTTCATGTATTTATACTGAGTAAAACAGCTGAGGGTCTGCACTTGATGTGAAAAATCTCATGAACAGTCTCTATTTCTGTCTTTGTTTCACCATATTGTGCCATAAATGATGTGATAAAAGTTTGAATATAGCTGTGATGCATTTTAAACTTTATTCCATTCTCAGTATGATTTGCTGAAAGGCTGCTAAACTGTCTATCTTCTGTATGGCCTGATGGGTAATGTCTGAGGTAGGTATGAGAAAGCTGTTGAAATTATCTACAGTTCCATTGGGCGACAATCATCCAATTCAAAAGCTCAGTGTTAAATTAATGGATCTGTCTACTGAGGCATGAGAGAGCCCCACTAACCAGCTGCATGGGGCATTTTGAAAATACAGTAATGTATTGAAGCTCCCTGCATATTTTCTGCCCATTCTTGAGTAGATAATAGATGTGAGGGGTTCGGTGAGGTTAGCTTCTTTTGGCTTTGCACCACAGTCCTTACCCCCCATTGACAGAGCATACATCACGCTGTATGCGGCCATGTTTCCTAAGAGCCATGAACTTGTCAACTCCCTCGGGCTCCCCTGTCAGAGTGTCAAAGACAAACACATTTTCACATTGTGTCCCGGGGCAAGGAGCATTCAGCCTCCCAAATAATTGCTATGGCCTCCTCTGAATAAAGCAGCATTCTCTACAATGGTTGCAATAGACGCATCAATCTCATAGCTCCTTGTTTTTGCCATGTTCCCCAGAGGGAAACACAAAGAGCATCAAGGACTAGATCTGTGATCAGTGATGCAACTAGAGCCTCGTACCTCTACACCGATCTCACAGTGACAGTACCTACAGCAGGGTTGGGATGTATTTGGAATACGTATTCAGAATACAAAAATGAAGTATCTTCATTCCGTCCAAGTTACAGTTTGTAAAGGCAGTATTCAGAATACAGTTACTTTTACATTTTAAGGACAACACTTTGAGTCATTACCCACTAAATGAATAGAAATTGTCAAAAGAAACATCCTCAGAGTTTGTTGAAATATTTTAAAATCTGCACTTGTAGCAAACATGCCCATTAGATGAACTCTAAAGAGGACCTCAGTTAACAGCTTTTTTGCAAACACTGAAGTTCCTACTAAAGCTTGAGTAGACTGATAAATCATTGTGCTGAGACAGTTATTAATCTCAGTGTTAGTAAACCCCTTTAAGGGGAGGATCAAACTAATGATCTCCCCAGTATTAGACATGTTTTGTGAGTGATAAGTTTAGTATCTGTGTTGTACTGGACCTCTGATTGAGGGATTGTGGGAGCAGCTGTGGACTTAAGCAGGTGATGACAGAGAAAAGAAAATTCAAGAATTTCAGAACTTAATTTAAATGATAAGCAGCTTTTTCATGAAACATATTAACAAAGGAATCAGATGAAGAAAACTGCCAAATAGTAACAATGAGGAATAGTGAACTAGGTAGAAATTACCTAGTTTTCCCGTCTGTCTTATCAGTATATATTCTAAGTGTATTCCAGATTCTATTCTGAGTATGTTACTTTCTCATGTATTGTAATGGAATACATTACTGAGTACATTTAGGACAGTATATTCAGTATTCAGCCATCACTACTTTTTCAAAGTTTTTGGTCCAACCCTGGAGACAAGGCTGACAACTGTGTTTGAACAATAGCAAGTGGATTTATTTAAAATAAAATAAGTATTTTGTAGTTGTTTCTTATATTTATTTATTGCATAGATTGTCAGTAAAAATTTTTGTTTTTCTTGTTTATTGGGACACATTCAGTGGCTTCTACAAAGTTCAGTTCAGTTGACTTTTGCAGTCTCCTGTCTGGACATTGAAACACTAGCTTACCCACACACTGTGAAGGTCTGATGCTAGTTTAACCAAATGCCTATATTTTCAGAAAAGGTTCCCTAATATTTTGTTTACGATTTCTTGAGAAGAACACACTATTTCATGGTGTAAGTGGTACAGGGAAGTCTTCAGGCTGCAATGAGTTTAAGACATGATCATTAGTTCACCCTGGGGATGCTGTATTGACCCAAGTATGTTGCAGTGATGTCAGTTCATTCCATTTTGGGCAAAATATGTCAAGTGGGTCAGGCCTTTTGTTTGGTCTAGCAGACCAGCGTCACTGCTTACACACGGTTATCTCACTGACATCAGCCCCGTGTTTTGAATATGAGGTGACCGAGTTCAGTTGTTGTTAGCCTGACGCTAAAAGCATACAATGTTAGGGCACGGAGCCCTGTAGGAAGGCAGTGAAGAATGTGGCTGGTATTAGGCCCCGCAAGGAGCTTCCTTTCTCACACTAGCAGAATGATGTGCTTAAACTGGAAAGCAATATTAGTTTTTACCTCTTTGTTCCCTCGTCGCTTCCACCTGTCCCGATGATTGATTTGAAGGCTAAGCATAGAATCGATAAAAAATGAGCGTAACATGGAAGTTCTGTTATTGTTCTATTCATGTTCAAAGTGCTGGGGGGTCAAATGCTTTTCAGCGATTAACAGATACGTAATGCCAGGGCTGGGTGAAATGTGTGTAAATTTATATCGCAACATTTTTCAGCTTTCTGGTGATAAATGATATGTATCTCATCTATTCATGCACTCTCTCTGTAAAAGAGTTCTATGGAAGAACCATAATTTGGGCTAATTAACCTTTTTCGAATGCACTGAGAGAATTAAAACAAACCATTGCTAGCTACGTTCAAAATGTTTACTACTGTAAGGACAAAATGAAAAAATCTTCCTTGAAATAATCCAAGTGTGTTTTCCGCTGTTTTGTTTCCTTTAAATGAAAACAAAGAAGAATGATTTACAGTCCTTTTATACTGCAAGGACTGCTGTTGGAGGTTGTTCTTCATCCTTTCTTTCTCTCTTATCTAGAAGAAACTCTTATCCAAAGGCTTAACAGAGTACATAAGTGTTGGGAGTCTTGCTTATATTCCTGACTGAACGGGAATCAAGCCCCAGTCTTCTGTGTGTAGGGCAGATGTGTTATCTGACTCCTCTTAGTCTTGCTGTATGGAGGTTTCCATTTTGCTAATGAAGCTTAACACACTCATACTTGTGAGACAAGAAGCTGCTGTGTGACTGCTGTGATCTTGAAGAAATTCAGCCGTTTTCACTATTTTCAAAGATCACCTATGTTGCCTAATCTTGTGTCTGTTAAAAAATGTTTGTTATTATATACTATGTAATTTCTTGCCTTCAGGTGTTCTTTATCATGCCCATATGCTCATCTCCTATGGGGCCAAGTGAAGAAACTATGAAAGAAAACGTGCCCTTGGGGTGCTTTAGATGTCACTCTGCTCCTTAAGCTTTTGCACTGTAATCGTGTCTGGATTCTCATCTATTGCTTTACAAATTGATTGAATGACTACTGGATTTTTTCTGACTCTACAAGTGGTAATATTTTTCCTTTTTGTTAGTGTTCAATTAAAATCTATTGAACTTTCTTTGACATTCACCTAACTGAACAGTGTGTTGAAAAGTAGTGAAAATCCAGTGAAAAGTGAAGAGTAATTACCTGTCGTCTTGCTCCTTCACATCTTTCATCGGTTAATGAGCCATATAGTGTTGTGGTCTTGCTGTTGTACAGGTTAAGATGTTACGCTGTGAGAGAAAACATGCGTTTCTGGTATTTTAGGTTTCACTGTGGCCGCTAAACTTTTGTACATTAACAGCACCTGTATTTTCTTTAGCTGGTGTAGAAACTGGACCGACCAAGTTGTTTTTAAATTCTACTAATATTCATTCTTTCCCTTTTTGCTCCTCTTTAATTAAAATCTTACTGAACAGTCTGTTGAAAAGGTAGTGATGTTCCACTGAAAAGCTTAAAAGTGAAACCTAATTAGAAGTCTTCCTTCTCTTTGACCAGTTGATGAGGCCAGATTCACTCTACACAGCACCTATAGGCAGGGTGCATTTACTTAGCAAAGTGAAGTGCTTAAGCCTTCGCTCATCTTATGTTTAGAGTAGCGCCTTTGAACACATTACGTCTAATTAAGTTTCACCTTGCTGGTGTCTGAATGCCTTTTCAACAGAATGCACTCAGCAGGCAGTTAGTTGCCTTTCAATTATATCTTGATGACCGGTTAAATTTGATGGGTGCCGCAGTAATCATTGCCGACTCGGGTTCCCACCAGGCTTTAGCTCAGACATATGGGCGGAATTGCTATTAGTCTGTGTAATAGCGCCTGTGGCCGTCCTCGACGTCTCTCTGTGGGGTGGAGAGAGCTTCTGATATTCGCAGGTTGCCTCTTTATGGGGTAACACTGCTGGAGGAGGAGATTTATGGCAATGATAAAAGCTGTGCAGGGCAATAATGGTGGAGGTGGATGCTCTGAGCCACACTCTCATCTCACAGTGCTGCCTCCCCAGTGTACTGCAGAGAGAGAGAGAGAGAGAGAGATAAAGGAACGGGGACAGAAAGGAGGATCCTTAAATTATGGTCTGTAGTTTTCCTTCACATGTAGTGCTCCTCCATGGCAGTGTCACAGATGACCATTTTCTAAGTGATTACGAAAGACATATACAATCACATAAGCTTGTTTTGGTCCGTCACAGTGATGTCCTCTGCCTGTAAGGGCCATTCTCTTCTCTCTGAGCCACTGATAACATCAGCCATTCATCACTGTAGTATAAGGGAGTGAAACCAGCTGTAATTCTGGCCTGACAAGCTGGAGGAGAAGAAGGAGAGGGTAATAGCAGGAGAGCACAATAATGGCCTGACGGAGTGGAGATTGATGCAGCTTTTTGTGCTATGTCCTAACAGACTAACAGTGATAAAAATCATACCATATATCTCCACTTTTTATTTTCTTCTGTGGTCATAGACCTGTTTGCCTGGAAGAGTCGTGGTTGCCATTACCAGAATGTACACTCATCATACCGGAAAGTGCAGCATAGCTTTTGAACCATCAGTGTGGATATTACCCGCATTATTTATTATTGAATATGACCTACTGTAGGTTTGTAACTGTAAGTTGGTAACACTACTTGAACCCTACTACGAAACAGTAACATAACCGTACCATAAACATGTAAAGTCAGTCGTTACATGCTGTCATATGATGTAATGACAGGTTTTGTTAGTAATATAACAGTGTCATGTTACCATTACTGGTTATTGACATTTGTCAGAATGTTTGACAGTTTATGTTACATGCTAATTTTTGCTAAGTGTCCTTTAGTTAACTGTCATGACCTCACACATAACGTGATGGCAGTCAGCGGTAATGAAAACGTGACCCTGTTATTACTGAACATGATCTGTCATGATGGCATATGACGTCTTTCATGACATGTTTATGGCTTATGTCAACGCTATGTGTTCAAGTAAAGTCGTACCAAATGTTCTAATGAACTAATGTAGCTGATTATGAACAAGTACAGTTTATCCAACATGCTACAAAATTATCTTTTTTTCCCCTTTTTTTACACTATTCCAGTTTTCATGTTGCTGCCAGGTCAATTTGTTACATGTACTGTTTCTCATGTTCTGAATTAATGACAAGCACTATCCCTCTGTGCACAGCTGGAGCTGAGCGGCGTGATCAGAGGCCCTTTTGACTGCGCCGAGAGAGAGAGGAGTCAGGTCAGTGCAACTGTATTCATTTCTCTACCCCAACCCCAACCAAACCCCGCACTCCCCCCAGTTCCCATCAACAGGCCAGCCGGCCCTGCACATCGAACCCTGATGAATGGGGTCAATCTGGGGGGCTGCCTGTAGATTAGCCGGTGAGTCGGGCAATAAATGATCTGATACAGGCATCAGACTGAAACACATTTGGAGAACTGAGCACTACCGTGGCTAGAGCCCACGTCCAATTGACTGTTTTCTCCTGAAGATGATTTTCAACTGTCATATAGCCATCAAGTGAGACCAAGTTCAGGTATTTGGGAAATTGTGCTTGAAGTTGCTCTTGAAAGAAGGCTTTTCATCAGTTTGGAATACTGTTACTAAGTTTATTTATGTCTCTATATTTTGCTGTTTTGTTCCAAAATCTTGTTTGAAACTTTGATATTGTCAGTTAGCTGGACCGTGACAAAGGAATTAAAGTTGTAAGCATTGTTCAATTAAAATGCACTGAGGACTTGAATGCAGCTAAACTTCAAACACAACAATATTGTCTCTCTATGAATAATTCCCCAGCTTATTTCCTTTTTAAAAAGGCTGAACAAATTTCAATCAGAAGTGGGAAATCCTGTCTGAGATTAGAAGTAGGTGGCAGGCACGCTTTGCTTCGTGTTCTATCATTCTCTCATTTGCGCCCATCCCTCCTTCCGTTCCATCGTTTTTTCATGGCTATTCATATGGAGATGGGGGTCAGGAGATGAGGTGGTTCTCACGTTCAACTTGAAACCCTGGCCTTTGTGTGGCTGGAGCCCAGGCTGCAGCACTGAAGCCAGAAGTGAAATTAAAATCTGCTGAATGCCCCAGCGGGGAGGGGAGAAGAAGGGGAGAAGAGGTGGAGGAGAGGTGCGGGGAGGGCGCGCAGCTGCTGATGTTGGATAAATGTGAGATGCCCACTGTGGCATTCCATGCCCTCCTGAGGGACCAGCCAAATGAGGCATTGCTCAGTCACCCCTTTCATCTTAATACAAGCCCATTCCTCCATTAACGGTCAATGCAGTGCTGCATAGGCCTCTTCTGTACACCCTCATTTACCACATAGCTTGGCCTGTTTTTCGCAGCCCACATTTCAATGGTTTAATTTAATTACCTTGAAACTTAGTGGTTCCCTCATTTTTCTTTGTGCTCCCCATGAGGCGACTTCATGGTGTTCATGGTGAGAGCCCAACTGACAACCTTTTGTGTCAGCATAATGCAGTGCCTTCAGTTGTGATAATGTGATGTGTTTGCTTGTATGGATTACAACATAAATATATAAAACGTAGATGAGATGAGCTAGAGAAACATTAGTTAGCATTAGCATTGTCTTTTCAAACCTATGCAGTTTTTTCAGTGATTTATCAGCACTGTTAATCTCTTGTGGCAGCTGATTACTACACAGCTGTAAAATTCACATCTGTGTGTAAACCAAAAGACCTGGTTTACAAAAACACAGCAGTGTGTTTAGGTCTGTACCATACTGGCTGACAATTATAGGCAATTTAGAGCAAATGTGTCATAATTGCAAAGTGCACATGCATGTTTATTATTCCTTTCTCCTGTTGCTGAAGTAGACAAATTATAGGTTAAGGATAACAGTTCTCCTTCCGGTCAATGGAGCAGGATGAAGAAGGGAACGTTTTATATACTGCAAGAATTTGGCATATGATCCGCTTTTCTCTTTACCTTGAGCTAGTGCAGATTTCCTCGTAGGGCAGTGTGCATCAGTCTTTTTTTCCCCATCCTCATCTTGTCTTGTTGGTGGTCTTAGCTGTTCGAGTAGTGTTGATTCCATCTGTGGCATGGGCAGCTGACATTCGTGTAGCTTTAGTTTTTGAAAAATGAAGCGATTTAAGAAATACTTTCCAAACTGTAAGTAAATTGTTGGCCTATGGTACGGAAGACTGAATGTTGTTTTCTTGTTAATCGTCACCTCCAGAACCCTAGAATGCTGTGCAAAATCCTTCTCAGATATCAGCTCCCAGTCTTAAAGCATGCCTGAAAGCCCTTAATGTAAAGCCTTTGTGGTATTGTTATAGCACAGATGAATCACTGGAAGTCCAAAACCGCAGGTGTATGTTCACTCCACTGATCTCTGGTTTAGGGAGGAACCAATTTAAGATGGAGCTTAAAAGAACAACTTAAAAGTGAACAAATGGTTTTGTCTTACAGGAGGTACTTTCTACAATTACATTTTTAAATGCTTCTGAATGTTGTATAGATACAAATATCATCTATCTGATGCTGATATATTTTTTTAATGCAAATATCTGCCAATGCCGCAAAGATTCTGATATCTTTATGCGTTCCTGCAGTCCAGTATGCCGGAGTTACAGAGCCAAAACATTGAAAAACATATAATATATTGGGGTAGTCACCAAGCCTGCTCCTGGAGATCTACCTCCATGAACATTTTATCCCCATCCCAAATCTAACACACCTCATTCGACTAATAAAGGTAAATAATTATTGGATCAAGTGGGGTAAACTAGTGTTGCAGCTGCAGGAAGGTAGTTCTCAGGGAGCAGGGTTGGTGATCTCTGATGTATTGGTTGAGGATATGGTCTGACATCACTATGGTTTGTCATGCCTCATTTGTTCTAAGCATATCTAGAACAACATTTCTTTACTCAGAATAAAACTAACACAAAATGGCTTCAGGTCATTTGTAGGTATGTATGTGATATGTGTCTTGAAAACCACGAATAGGGCCTATAATATTATAAGTCATTTGGTCTTTTGTAAACTGTTTTATTTATGCTTTTATTTGTCTAACAACGCTAATTTTATCTGCACTTGTGTGGCAAAATAACTGTAAAGCCATAAGCTCCGAGTATGACTAAGATCCATCCCCCACTGAATTATCTTCCTACTTGCACTCCCCAGATTCACAGACAGATGTGACACACTTGACAAGTCCTTAATAGCTCTCTTCTGCGCTTGGAGAGAGTGTGGATGCTGGGTTGCAGCGACTGGCCTGCACCCACGGGATAAATATGGAAGTCATTATATAGCAGCACATACTGTGTGTGCCGAAAGGACAAGTATACACCAGGCTTCAGTAGAACCTCCCTCTCCTATCCTCATACAGTGTGATGGGTCAGAGGGCCATGGCTGCTCCATTTGAGACAGAAATTTAATTTGCCAGTGCGCTGTGCGAGGCGGGCCAGGAGGGTGTACAGCTCTCGGAGCGCTAATAGCTTCTGGGCAGGATGACTGGGCCTGATGGAGGAAGATTTATTTATTCTTTCTCTCCCTCCCCCCAAAACCCCCTAAAACCTGGCCATGCTCCAATCATCACCAGTGTTGTTTATTTTGTCACGGGGCGTGATGGCTGAATGTGTCTCGAAGGGAGTTGAGGAATGACTGCAGCCCTCCCTGAGGCCAGGCCCCTCTACAGCTGCTCTCCATACCACACCAAACCACACCTCACCTCTTCTCACACCGGCCTAACACAGCCTCCGTTAGTACACTTTTACAAAAGAATACCGTTTTCAGAACACTAATGTGTCAAATTTGGAGACCTCTCTGGTGGAAATGTGTAACGTGCAGAAGAACACTATGTAACGTGGTTCGTGCTTTGGACACCTTCCCCAAGCGAATGAATCTGCTAATTGCAGGCACATTGAAAGGGTTTTCAAAGAGAAGTCAGTCAAAACGTGGTGAAGGATGTGTCTGCTGAGAATGTAAGTGAATGATCTACTATTGTCATCATATCTTCATCAGTATAATTGTCAGGGATTTCCTGGTGTGTCTACCCCTTTGTTGGTTTGCTGCCTCTGTCTAGTTTGTTTTCTTGTTCTTTGTGCTTTTGTTTTTGTCAGCCATGTGCTTTTGTTGTTGTTTTGGTGTTTTCTCCTCCCCTGTCCTGCCCTGTCTTCAGCCCCTTCTTGTTCCTCGTTTCTAGCCCCGCCTTCATTGAGTGTCCTCAGGTGTTCCCTGTCTTCTGTGCTGGTATACATACCTCTTTGTTTCCCAGCCAGCATTGTTCAACATGGATGTCTGTGTTCATATTCACTTTCATGGTGTTTTTTCTGCTCATGTTTTCTTTGTTTTTGTTCTAGTGTTAGTGTTTTCTGGTTTTCTTAGTCTGTCTTTGTTTATCTCAGTTCTTAGAGTTTTCATGTATGTGATGTCATGGAACCCCGTAGGCTTTACCTGCCTGCATGTTATTTGGATGTTCCATGTAAGAACTTGAATAAACCCTCACACTTGTACCCCATATCCTCATCTGCCAAGCCAGACAATTCATTACAGTAATATTGTTTTTTTCATTTGCGATCTAATCTTCAAGCATTGAATCTAAATATGTAAATACGTATGACGTAAAGTTAATGTGAAATCTGACCCAATGTGTCTGACTGACTGCAGCACACAACATATTTTAATGTGTATGGTTTAATTTGTTCGCTTTTGTTTTTTTTTCCTCATGACTTGAAATATCTTTATATCCAATATGAAATATCCAATATCTTTTTTAATAAAACAAATGGAAGTGATGTGGCAAGTGAACTCGAAGGCTCTCATTCAGTGCTCTTGCTTGGAGCACGAGAAGCTGCTGCTACTGATCTGCGATAAAATGCGCAGTTACGGTGAAATAAGATCCAGTGTCAGTGGATGTCCACGCAGCACATGTTACAGCTATTCTACCCGTTTTCTTTAGCGATTTTATAACTTCGGTTTTGGTCTCGTTGTAGAGACGGGGGGGATCGCTGTGTCAGTAAAGTATCTTTGAGACGGAACGTGTGAAACATAGCGCGAAAGCCCTGTTTCGCAACTGAGTAACGGCATGCAGACTGCAGGTCACATAGCAGCGATGCATTATTCGCATTTATAAGCAGTGCAGTTGGTTTCCTGGTACGTTAAATCTGCAACGAGAGACTGTCAAACACTAAAAAGTGGCGAAGCTGAAGTCAGCTTCTCTTTCGAATTCTCCCGTTCCACCTTAAATGGTGCCGCATTTACATTCGGCGCCTCAGTTGGAATTTAAGGTGGAACGGGTAAATTCGAACAAGAAGCTGGAGACTAAGAAGCGACTTCAGCCTTGAAAAACAGTCGAACATTGAGAGACATTTAACTGATCTACTTCTGAGGAAAAGTTTTCTGGCGGAGATGGGAGGAAAGCAGCTATAGGCGAAGCTTAAAGCAGAGCGAAGTAAATCTGCGTTTTCGTTTATATTGTTTAGCCTATATTAGGACATCATCACATACTGACACATACTGGACAT